AAACAAAACACTCAGGTTTGTTTTTGTTTTTAATGTAACTCACCGTCTCATTTCCAAAAAGTATGTCAACATAAGGCATCACTTTCATCAATGGTTCCTTGTAGAATTGGCTAATAAATGGTGCAGACAGATTCAGAGTGAAAATTCTGTTGTTCTCCGAAGCATGACGAGCCACTTTTAAGATTGATTCTGGCGAAACTGTAAGGAAAAATCCCTGTAAATGGCGAAAATGGGAAAATTAGACATTTCATCTCCACAGAATCACATTCACTAAGAATAAAAGAAACCTACACAAAATGCATGAGCCTATTCAAAAGTTACAGAATTTTTGACGATTATGAGAATTTGTAAATAACTAGAAAAAATAGATAATATAAGATATTTTAATGAAAATTTCATGTAAACTTGTATTTTAAAATGTTACTTAGACACATTGCTAACTTTAACATAAGACTTTGATAAATGTGTTTTGGCTTTCCAAGTGAAAGAAAGTATAAGCAAAGACATGGATGCTTGTATAGGAAATTGGTTTGGATGATACAAAAATGAGTGAAGGAGTTCACAATGGAAATAATAAAATATAAAATCAGAAAGACCAGCTGTATTAAAATCAGAAAGGGCCTTTAATTGCAAGGTAGGAGTTGATTTGGTAGGCAAGGTGGGATGGGTAGCAGCAGGGAGAGATGATCCACAATGAAGTTTTCTGTCAGGGAAAGGAATAACAAGCTTATAGTAAAAATTAAAGTAAAATTAATCTGGACTGAAATAATTCAGCAATCATTAATAAAAGCCTGCACTGTGGCGTGTAAAGGAAACTATACTGGGAGTATTACACGTAGACCTTGGCATTTGCTTAAGATGTAGGAGGTACTGAAGGGTCAAAAGTGATTGAAAATTTGAGTCTGCCTCTACCATTAATAAAAACTTAAAAATCCAGAATAAGAGCTGGCTGGGATATTAGAGAAAATGTTCAGCAATGATCGTAATATATGTGAGGTGCTGAGTGACCTGTACTAACTATCAGGAAGTATAGCTCAGGAGAAAGGCCATGGGAGAAGTTTATGGGGGAAGAAAAGAGGGAGCAGCTGTCAAAGAGGAGAAGCTAGAAAAGACAGAGGGAAAGGGCTGAAGGGAATACTTGTGCTGGAGAAGAATAGTGACAGCACCATGGACCGACAAAAGGACAAACAAATCTGTCCTGGAAGAAGTACAACCAAAGTGCTCCTTAGTGGCAAGGATGGTGGGACTTCATCTCACACTCTGGACATGTTAGCAGGGGAGACTAGTACCTGGAGAAGGAGAGTGTGCTTGGCAGATGTAGAGGGGCAGTGAAAAGAGGAAGGGCCTCAACAGGGTGGATACACAAAGTGGCTGCTACAATAGGAACAACTGTGAAGATTGCACAGGACTGGACAGTATTTTGCTTTGCTGTTGCTATGGGTCGAAACCCACTCAATGGCACCTAACAATGGTAGGGTGGGGGGAGAGTTACATTTTAGGATAAGGGAGGTTTGACAGTTTTACCTTTCAAAGAAATGGATCTAGTGGAGAAAAAGAATAATAAAGTAGGAAGGGGGGGATAACTAAAGAATTAGAGGAAACAAACCAGGAGATTAAAAAACCAGCAAAAGGGGTAAAGGGAAGAGGTGTTAACAAACCCAGGGACAAGGGAACAACAAGCGATCCAAATTGGTGGGGAGGTGGGTGTGGGAGACCTGGTAGGGCAGGAT